AAAAAAAAAAAAAAATCACACTCTACTTCTTCCCTGCTTCATTTCCTCCAAAGTCTCGATCTGTGTAAGATCGTATATAATTTACAAACCGTGTACTGTCTGTCACACAGTATAATGCAAGAGGTTTGTCCCATTTTGCTGGCGGCTGAGTCCTCAGCCCCCAGGACAGGCTGCTGGGCACACAAGAGGTGCTTGGTGACCAGGCGGAGTGCATGCTACCTGGAAAGGAAGCTCGCACCTCACTTGGGGACAAACTGCCATTCATGGCAGAAGAGCCCATTGTTACCTGGATAGGAGCGTGGGGTAAAAGTGAGGCTGCCCAGGCCTTGCACGCCAGCCTTGGTCCCTGGCCCGCTGGCCACCAGCTCAGACATGCTCCCTGGAGGCGGAGGGGTACAACAGCCCTTTGTAAACTCATAAAGGGCAGCTAGCTATGGCCACTGTCGTTCTGTGTGGCAGCACGAGGCCCATAAACTCCACCTCTGACAGCTTTATGGGGCTTGGCATGGGTGTGCAGGAGGTGCCACGCGCAGTGGGGTCAGAGTTCCCTAGTGCCAAGCCAGCGAGGGCAGAAGAGCTCTTACACACGAATCTGCCAAGCCAGCAGCTTCCTAGATGGCCATTGGGTCACTGGGACTCACAGCATCTGGGCTCCCTGCCCCCGTGTCGCTGCCTCTTGTTTCACAGCCCTGGATTCATGGGCAGGGGGAAGGGATAGCCTTCTGAGTCAGGAGGGGCTCCCTAACCCCCCCGAAGCATATTGCATAGTCCTGGGGGGGTGTCATATGATCATTACTATAACCGAAATATTTTTAGTTGGAGTCTCACTCCGTCGCCCAGGCTGGAGTGCAGTGGCATGCTCATGGCCACCCCAGTGTCGACCTGCTGGGCTCTGGCCGTCCTTCCACCTCAGCCTTCCTAGCAGTCGGAACCACAAGTGCACGCTACCATGCCCAACTAATTTTGTTATTTTATTGTAGAGACTCAGTCTCACCATGTTACCCAGCTGGTCTCGAACCCGCAGACTCAGGCTATCCTCTCGCCTCGGCCTCCCAAAAGGCTGGGATTACAGGCTTGAGCCACAGCGCCCGGCCAACGTCCATCTTAATAGAAGAGGAAACAGGCTCAGAGGGTAACTTGCCCAGGATTATACAGCTAATAGGTGACAGAGCTGAGACTGCTGCTGAAAGCGCCATGCCTCGTCTGAGTCTCAGTGTCGTACTCTGTGTCGACTCAGTGTCGGCTACATGCCTCATCTGAGTCTCAGTGTCGTACTCTGACCCCTGTCCGGTGGTTGTCCGAGGACCGCGAGAAGGTTCCCGGACACGCAGTGGACCAGACGCTCTGGTTCCGTCTGCGTGAAACCAAGGGTCGAAGACGCCACCTGGGGTGCTTTGCGCAAACCACAGCCAACCGAGCCCAGGAAGCGCCTGCTGGTTCTGACCTTAGGGCTTTGGCCAGGATGCCTGGGGGAAGGGGTTGGGGGGTTGGTCCCAGGATTTCCTCTGAGGGACACTTCCAGATTCCTTCCCAGGAAACACGGGTTCTGGCTTCCCTGCTCAAGAACTGCTCCCTAGTGCTGTCCATCTCCCCTCCTGGTCACAGAACTTGTTATCCAAGCACACCCCTAGCTGTCCCAGCTCTGGGTCTTGGCACATGCGGCTCCCTGCGCCAGGCACAGCCTCTCCTCTCCCTATGGATCAAACTCCTACTCAGGCTTCGGAGCCCAGATCAGGTGTCACTCCTCCCTACTACTTTCACCACATGAAATGTGTCCACTGTCACTGAATTTCGTGCTATTCACTTGCTCATCAGAGACCCCGGGGCCAGGCTGTGTCTCTTTCCCGGTCACACGCCTCGGGTGTGACGCCTGTGCAGCCGGTGGTGCCCACACAGGGGATGCTCAACAGATGCGCGAAGAACCAACTCCCGAGTGCGTGTCCGCCGGCGGAGGCCGCACTTCCAGAGAGACGCCAGGAGAGGGCAGTAGCCGAGGCGCGGATGGTGGAAGCCGCGGCGGCTGGGTGGGCGAGCGGAGCGGGACGGA